GGGCAGCGCCCCTGGGCCCGGCCCGCCGCCAGCGGAATGCTGCGGGGCGACGCCGCCTGCGGATCCCGCGCCTCCAGCCTCTCCGCGGCCGCTGGACGCCTACCCGCCGAGCTGCTGCCGTGGCGGCCCCGGAGCTCCGCGTAAGTAGTACCCGGATATCCCAGGGATCCGCAGACACACGCGCCGGCGATCCGTGCAGGCAGCGGGCCGCCACCCGCGTCGCCGTCTCTTGGGCTCATCCCGACCTGTGCTGGTTAATGTCAAGCTTTGGGTGTGTTTAGCTGCAGGATCTAGTGCGCCGATGAAAAGGATGTGGCCTAAGAGAAAAATGTGACCTGACCGAACTGTGATTGGTAGCACTGGTCAGTTTCATAACAAAATGCAGACTACCAGGCTGTCAAACTTTAGTGTATTACCCATACCCATTTCCAGACACCTTTAATTAAATGTTAAAGCAAGGGTCGCCGTTTACAAACTAAGTTTGAATATTTAAATAGCATTACTATTGTTTTATTGAGTAATTTATTTGCACAATATTAGAATTCGCTGACATTTTCTCGCCGTTGAATTTTAAGGGACAAGATGCTAACATTCGCAGTGACTTACCTCCAAAGATGTTTTCATGCTGAATGACTGAATATTCCAAAGATATGTCTGGAAGAAGGCTTTATGACTTCTGGTTTTATATGTGTGTATATGTACATGTACTGCAAATCCTTAAAATAGTTTTGATCGCGCCTCTGTAACATTTTAAGTTTTTCTGTTTTGTTCCTGCAGTGCTGAGGATTAACCTAGGGCCTCATGTATACTAAGCAAGCTCTCTACCACTAAGTTCTATCCCCAGACCTCCTACAACTATATTTTAAAGTATAGGACAATGATTTGCACGAACCAGAATTTTACTGTAGCACACTTAAATATCTCAAGGTGTTTTATTGGAAATTAGGCAATACTTCATTTTATTTACTTTCAGAGAGACACATGAATTCATTTCCTTAACAACAGCTCACTCGTTTTGGGTTCTTAAACCATCTGTCACAAGTTGGAAAATTGTTTTTAACCTCATTACCTAATTGTCAAGATGGGTTTCTAGCAGTACTGATGTTGATTGTAGTGATGAGGCTTTTTATTTATTTATTTAAGAACCACATAATTAGTAGAAGCATTTCAACAGCATTGACATAGTCAATAACAGTTTCCAGAGCAAAGATGCATCTCTTTCAAAATTGGCTGTAATTTTTAGGTTCACAGTGTTGAATTAATAGTTATGCATTATTCTCTCAGAATAAACCCTATAAGACAAAAAATTGAATGAGGTTTTAACCTTTAAAAAAGATCTCCATTTAGCCGGGCGTGGTGACGCTCGCCTGCAGTCCCAGCACTTGGGAGGCAGAAGCAGATGGGTCTCTGTGAGTTTAAAGCCAGCCTGGTCTACATAGTGAATTCCAGGACAGC